AAGTCGAACTTATTCGAATTTATTAAAATTACATTGTTAACATTTTTATTGTTCTGCACTACGGCAAAAAATTAAACAAAATGTATTAACATTTAAAGAAACCTGCATAAAAAAAAATAAAGCATGGAACAATCCTCCAAAAAAGGAAAGAGCTTTATTATTATTATTATAATATAAATTATTCAAAAAAATTTCTTGGCTGCCAAGCGCTTTACAAGAATTTATTTGTGACTGCATCAAAGGTAAAATACCTTAATTGACCTCGCTTCTGAATGAATGAATACCGTTAACGAGAAAATCGAGGTTTAGAATCGAAGAAACAGTTGACACGAAACATTTACGGAGGGATGAAAACCGGATGGGTTAGTGATGTTCTGTCCTTTCTTTATGTTTCTTTGGGGTTGGAGCGGACTTCGTCCGCAGAGATTAAAACAAAAAGATGGAAACTTCTTAATATTCGAGTTACATAAACACAAATTGGTGTTTGGAATCCCGCGACTAATGTTGATTGGTATTTTGTCAATACCTTGTCCATTGCAAAATCTTTTCAAACATTTTCTTGATTGTGGTCATGGCCCCTGCTTTGTTAGCAGTTGTCAAAGCTGGCTAGATTTTCTCTATTTGTAAATAAACCCAGGCAGGTCTTTAGTGAAGAATCGTATCACAAGAGTTGAATATAACGATTACATGATAATAAAATAATATTGTGTGAAATAAGTCCTTACTTACTGGGACGTAAGATGCTCTAATTAATCAATAACAAACTTAATTGAAATAAGCATCATATGCTCTCTTAACCACTTACTTTTAATCTCTGGGATCATTATTGCTGTATGCCATAATGCATGTATCTGAAACAAATAATAAGAAAATAAATAATAGCATTAAAAATCCTTTAAATTTTCAAACATTATATGAATAATAATGATGCAAAATATTATTATTCTTATTTTTTACCAACAAAAGTATCGCAATGGTCATGACACCTGGCTTTATTGGTATACAACAACAACATTTTGTTCTAGAATGTTGAGCAATAACTTTCTTTAAATTACAACTTCGAGACTTGGGTTTTTTTTCGTTTGGACTTTTTAATTCCAACATTCTTGAAGAATTACGAAAAAAAAGTAAGTTTGATCTATTTTGTATCCATTTGTCTATCTGTTTACATTAATGAATAAAATTTTCTTCGGATGTTCGAATTCTATGTACTACAAACATTGTGCATAACTGAGAATAGAAACTTGGAAAGTC